TTTAGTCAATAAAACGGTCAACTAAAACCCAAAAAGATGGACGTGTCTGTCCGCACTTGGGACACAATCCTGAACGTATATTCTTTCAGACCCCTACCAGCAAAAGTGGCAAATGCCTCTGGTATGTAGCTGGGTGAGTTCATACCGTATATGCACCATGTGAGGACTGAGGCTTATATGATATACGAAGTATATAAAATCTTCAAGATCCTGACTTTTAGTTCCCCAAAACCTTTTACCAATTTATTCAATACTTAGTACTACCTCCGCTCCTTAAAACTTTGTCAAAATTGACCGGCACGAAGAATAATAAAGTAAAAACTGTGTGGTTGAGCTTTGTGCAGAGGAGAGAGAAATAATAGAAACTACAAATAATTGATTAAAATGGAAAGTGACAAAATTTTTTGGGACATCCCAAAAAGAAAAGATGGCAAAGTTTTAAGGGACGGAAGGAGTATAATAACTTTCACACACCTCTCATACATTCATGTATACATATATACTATCGTATTTGTGTTCGTCCTATTTCATGTCCTTCGACATATTTGTATATGAGCTCTGAAGCTCCTTGAATAGCGAACCCGAATCGGAGTCCTTTACTCTCGCCTCATACAATCAGGGGGAGGACGCTCGCGGAAGAGCATCCCTCACCTGATCCAGTCGGGAGGGAGAGCATTTTGCCGGCATATTATGTGATGAAACGGTTAGCAACACAAGGAGGGTGAATTGTGTTTGTGTGAAACTATGGCAGTTTCTCGCACAGTTCTAGTGTGGGTGTAGGGAAATGCGAAATAGTAAGTACACAAGGATTTAACGAGGAAAAATCCCTTGGCTCATAGGGATTAAAAACCCCGACCTCCCTTGGAGGAATTTGAATAACTTCACTAAATAGCAATTTTGTGGTTACAAGGTAAATTCTCTCTAGGAAGAGTTGCTTCTCTACCTTGCGGGTAGAGATTCTCTCAGCTTTACAACAAAGCTCTTACACTCACGATCCCAAACCGAGGAAGCTACTCTTAGCTTTTCCTCGAAAACCAAGTTACAAGATAAAGAAGGGAAAAGAAACTCTATCTAGAACTTCGTGCGTAGGTTCAGATGCCTTGAACTTGATAACTCTTCATAAGTCTTTCTCCTTTTGATTACTCTCACAAGCACACCTCTTTCTCTTGATCTTCTGGCCTATATATAGTTGTCTTGAGACAGACCGTTGAGCATCCTTCCATGAATAGTTGTCCTTCTAATTTTGGGTCTTGCCTTGATATTTTGAATTACTTTCCTTTCATGGCTTATATTATTTGTTCAAAGATATGCTCTCAATATTATACATTCGTATAAGCAAGGAAGAGTATCATGCATAGGCGACAACCACTAAACTTGTTTATTATAGCATATATTTAGAGATTTCACTTTTTAACAATAACTATGCACGATCAATCATTCAATTAGCAATCATTCTTAAGATATTGAAACATGCAACGAATCCTTTCCTTATTCCAAGATTCTTTCAAAAAAATATTTATTTAATATTTATTATATTCAAATAAGCTAAAGTCCGCATGATTCTTGTATAGTAAAAGCAATGATTCTTTCCATAAGAAATCAAGCCATATTGGCCGGTCAACTCATTAACATGCATGGAAAGAGATTTCAATAAAGCCACATAGTATCAAGAACATTAGGTCATAGATTTAGCATGCACGCGTTCACCATTATTCATGCTTATAATTATATTCATAGAGCTAAACATAAATTCTATCCTTTGGACAGATGGGAGTTCTATCCTGTGGTCCACCTGCATGGTTAATCAGATAATCATGGACCTTAGGATAGTTCCATTCATTGTTCCTGTGAGGGGTTTAGTCATCAACAAAACTGAATATTTAACATTATGTTTAGAGCGGTAGACACCCACTCATCTAGCAGGACTACTCGAGGACACAGATTCAAGGAAGACAAAGAAAGAGAGCGAGCAAGTGTATAATTTCTCGAGCATATTCGCATGCTCACTACTCAAGAAATTGGGGGACTTATGTTGGCATATATGATATCGGCCTACTACTCTTGAAGAGCCAAATACATTATCCCCAATACGGAGCCCGGTCATCTCAGCCCATCAGGCCCTTTATAGCCCATCCGGTTCATTCAGGCCCTTTCCCCCATTAGGGTAGCTCTGTACCCCCCTTTCTATTTAAAGGAGGGTTTCCCTCCATTTTAAGGATGACTCTGATGCCCCTTTTCTCTCTCTAGTTAGCCTTCTTCTTCTCCACCCCCTTCTTCCTAAAAGCTTGTAAACTCTATTAATGGGAGTTTTTGTAAAATGTAAATGATGAGGAGAGTATTAATGAAAAGAGAGTGGTTTGGACATTAGCCCAAAAAATCTCGTGGTTTTCTTTCTTTCCGGGATTCCACGTTAAAACTGAGAGTTCATACATATTTATATTTATACGTAGTATTTACTATTTCCTGATAAATTAGTTTCACTGGAACAAAAATAGGCTATTTTCGTTCGGGTCGATAATGTTTTACAAGGGTCTTCAAAAGAGAATTTGTTGAGCTGACTATGAATGCTTGGGTCATTTTGGAATTCGAGATGTTGGGATGAGCATTAGTTTTTTTCATTAGTGTTTTCCTTCTCTAGCTCGTTTCTTCTCCAATTTTCTTCCTTCATTAGCATTTTTACTTTTTTTAAAAAAATTAATAAAAACTTTGTTTGTTTCATAAAAAAAGTTGACGTGTACATTTCAACCGCTTTAACTTCAAATAATTTGATAAAATTTAAGCCTTTTTTATTAGGGAGATTTTCCATTTCAATCTCCTATCTTTACCCTCTTGCATATTTGGTACTATAACTATTTTTTTTTTAAATTTAGCGACTTTTCCACTAGGTAGGATATTTTTTTGACATAAAAAGTGTACTTTTAAGAGGGAAAATTCTTAAATTACAAAGATTTAATAGTCACATGACCAAATCTATAAGAGAGTAAACCTACAGGACTAATAACGGGAAAGTTACATACAAGACTAAATTTTTAATTGTCCCTTCTCATTAACAACTACTTTTCTTTTGATTTACCATTCCTTAGGCTATAATGTACCAATACTTTTTGTAAGACCACTTCAATTATAAAGTTAAAGTTGTTTAAAAAAATAAATAAAAAAAAGTTAAAGTTGTTTTCTCATTGCTTAAAGTTTAAGTGTAGCAGATTTAAATATCGTGTATGTATTGATGAATGTTTTTAATACTACCTCTGTTCCAAAAGATTGACACATTTTGACTTTTCGTGGTCAATGGTGATAAAGTTTAGACAATGATTTTATGTATTATATTTGTTTGTAATTTATAAATTGTATACTTTATGTAAGATTTTTAATAAAGAATATACTTGAGGTTTATTCCCTTCAACCCGCAGGCCCAACACGTACATGGGGTTTCGAGTAGGTGGAAGGCAAATGAGCTTACTAAAACAACGGGGATGGATTAAATGACTGTTTCTTTGAATAGAGTGATTACAAGCTGAAGGGCCGAACGTACTGAAAATAAGCTACGTACTGCTGACGCTATTACAACTCTAGAGTAACGATGTGTGAACCCCTTACAATGAAATAAATGCGGCTATTTATAGTACACCCTGGTGGTTGGGGGACTGACGTGGCCGGCTGTGGGCGACATGATTCCAACCACAAAATCTTCAGCATTAAATGCACTTCCCGCCAAGATCTTGATTTCCCGCCATAATGCGGAGGACGTCCGTCCCCTAAACTGAACTCAATTCTTAGATGGTGGCTTGGGCCTTTGAATATAACCCACCAGGCGTTCATCCCCGGGCCCTTGGGCCTCGAGGCCTGGCTATGCTGGGCTACGTACGTCCCTTGGCTCTTGGACCCTGAGGCCTGGCTATGCTGGGCTACGTGCGTCCCCTGGCTCTTGGACCCTGGGACCTGGCTATGCTGGGCTACGTGCGTCCCCTGGCTCTTGGACCCTGGGGCCTGGCTATGCTGGGCTACGTGCGTCCCCTGGCTCTTGGACCCTGGGGCCTGGCTACGCTGGGCTACGTGCGTCCCCTGGCTCTTGGACCCTGGGGCCTGGCTATGCTGGGCTACGTACGTCCCCTGGCTTTGGTGGGCCACGTACGTCCCTTGGGCCTTTGGGCTTCAGGGGTTGATGGGCCGGTTCTGGAAGGCCATTAACCCAACACAAGTCCCCCACTTCTGATGTTCCGAGCTTGCGCGGGACATGAAGAAGTAAAAATAACTTCCGCCGTACCGTTATGATCCGTTGCTCCTTTCCTCTGGGTGATGGTTACTTTGCGCTGTACCGCCCTGAGCCGTTGCTCCCTTTCCCTAGGTGACGGTTGCTTTCCGCCGTTGTTTGCGGGGCTCTAGGTGCCAGCTATCAGGCCGATTCAACTTCCCGTAAAAAGGTAATCATTTCGTTTCAGCACGTCTTTTTGCAACACGCGTCCCTGTATACGCTCCTTGCCACGTGTCGCCCGTGGGTTGGTTGTTGAGTCGGTGCCTTCCCCTATAAATACCAGAAGTCAAGGAAAGGTGAGGGCTTTTCATCCGCTATCTCCTCTTGCCCCTTTTTGCGCCGATCAACGAGTGCTTTGGTCCCGGTGTCTGTTCCCTTTCCCAGCTTTTAGTAAGGTAATTCCCTGACCCCAATCTTCTTCTTCCTTCTCGTATTCTCCCATGGTCTGCTCCATGGAGATTTCTTCCTCCTCTGAGACCGGCTCCGGCTCTTCTACCGGTTCTTCGGCCGGCTCATCTTCGGCATCAGAGTCCAGGTCCCGTTCTTCGGATGAGGCGAGTGGATCTGGCCGTTCCAGCGCCTCTTCAATGGCTGTCCCTGACGTAGTGACCGACGCCGCCATCCCGGGCCATGGGGAACATGTCGACATGGCCGTTGATCCTGAAAACGCCGTTGCGATGGCGGCGTAACCTGCCGTGGCGGCGGGGCATCCAGACGATTATGACTCGGGTGTGGAGGCCAAAGAAGGGGATGACCTCCGAATCTATAAGCGGGGTATCCCCATGGATGATCACAGGCACATTGTGCTCATCCCGAACGTAGCTGTGATCGAGCAAGTTTTTTCAAAAAGGGCCTTGAAGGAGCTGCAAGTTCTCCTCCCCCCGCCTGCCTATTATAGCCTCCGGGGCGCGGATAACCTCTTCATGAGACGTCCGGGAATGGTGATGGTACACATGGACTCCCTGAAGGCCGGAGTGCGGTTCCCGTTACACCCGTTCTACTTGGATTTTTTCGAGTTCTATGGCGCGGTCCCGGCTCAATTCATGCCGAATTCCTATCGCCAGATCTCGGCATTCCTTGTCCTCTGTAAATCATTGGGGCTTGCCTTCTCCCTGGAGCTGTTCCACTACTTTTTCCAAGTCACCCCTCAGAATGCTGATGGATTCCTAAGCGTGGCCGCTCGTCCTACAAGAAAATTGTTCGAAGGGGCTCCCTCTTCTATCCATGACTGGAAGACTTGTTATTTCTTCATCTGTTATGCGAACGATCGGCTCCCCGTACGGTGGAACGGATACCCTCCGAAGGCCCCGACGCCGAAACTGACCCCAGTACTGCAGGAAGCCGTGGACAAGCTGAGGCTGGGCGGCGTTAGGAGATTAAAAGGCCTCCTGACTATTGAGGCACTCTCCAACGCTAGGATAGGTACCGCCCGTGATCCTTGGAGCCTTCTCTAGTGTTCATCTTGTGGGCCCGGGCGGTCTGTTCCCTGAGGAGAGTGCCTTTGTGATTCGCACCGCCCGGTACTAATGCTATTTTTTCCTCTTTTCAGGTCCTCCCCCTACTCAAGATCAGATGGATAGCGCGGCTATAGCACGTCGACGTGAGGCAAAGGCTGCCAAAGAACGGGAGACGCTAGCCAACGCCCGCGCAGCTGCTCTGTTCTCTGGGGCCACTTCTTCGGCCACTTCCCAGGCTAGCCAGCGGGTTGCCGATGCAGAGCGGCTTCTGGTTGCTGAGGTGACCGGGCAAAACTCCGGGGCCCCTCCTCAAGATAACCGGGTTCTGAACGTGAACCCGGTCGGCGTTGCTATCCCTGCTGGCGGGGATAAGGATAAGGGGAAAAAGACGAAGAGGCCACGTCTTGAGTTCTCCGTCTCCAAGCCTACAAGCGTCGCGATTCCCTCCGCCGTTCGTCCCATTTCCGAGGTTTGGAAGGACATGGCCCTCCAGGCCGGGTTGGAGCTTTCAGGTCGTTCCTCGGGCGACTCTATTGACAATGCCCTGCTCCTGAGCCTTGAGGTATGTTCTCTAGCCGTTTTTTCTGTGCTATCTTCTGTCTCTGCTCCTTGTTTCCGCCTAAACCATTTCCCCTTTTTGCAGGCCGGGCTGAGCTTACTGCAGGCCAAGTCTGCTCAGGGGAAGGATCTCGCCGAGCTTAGGAAGAAAGCTGATGCGGCCCTCCCAAGAAGTCTCGTCACGGGGAAGGGTCCGCCAAGGCCGTGGTGATCCTTGATGGGTCTGATACTGAGGCCGCCTCTCCTCCTAAGCCTCTCCCCAAGCCCCCGCTTGACCAGGGTTCGAGCGACCCTCCTCCGTTCGGTTCTGAGGGCTCATTTTCTGATATCATTGAGTTCTCCGGGTTGGGCCCCCGTGCGGAGTCGAAGAGGCTGTTTGGGCAGACGGCCTCTTCGATTTGGTGTTCCCTGGGGTTGAAACTCCCTCGGGATTTTGCTGCTCGTGATAGCGCAGTGGACCTCCATGAGTGCGGCCTTAGCACGCTCAACAAGGCCGCCATCTATTTTTGCAAGGCGCGGTTTGCCTATGAAGCTCAGGAGCGTGCTTCCGCCCAAGTGCGTTGTGAAGCCGATGATCTGGTGAAAAAGGCCAAGGAGCGCCTGCATCAGATGCAGCAGGATCTGAACGCTGCCCTGGGGCTTGCTAAGGGAAGCACGTCACTTCAGGAGACGGTGAGGAAACAAGCCGAGGAGCTGCAGCTGCTTCGTGCCAAGGTGGCTGCCGTGGAGAAGTCCGACGTGCAGCTCCGCCAGGTTGGTACGGATGGGGCCGTTCCTGTTTTCGAGGCTGATGTTTCCAAGATCAAGGAGGCTGGCTCTATTGAGTTCCAGAAGTCCCGTGCCTATGTCGATGCCGTGAATGTCCGTGTAAAGGAGCACCTTGCCCAGAGTTTCGGGGAGTTTTTGGCTAAGAGTGCTGACCCGCTGAAGGACGGCATCGGGTTGATATCGGGAACCTCCGCCGGTCAGGAGTTCCTTGCAGAGCTTGCTGACGATGCCTTCGCCAAAGGTATGATCGGCCTTTTGGCCGGAAACCTCCCGGCCCTCCAGCGTGATCTTCCCATGCCGTTTGATCCTGAGGCCGCTGGTTTCAATGCCTCGTTTGTTGAGGCTTACGGGGAGGCTTTGAAGGGCTAGTGCCAGGTCGCGGACGGCCCACCATGGCTGGGTGAGTTTGTCAAATTCTGCATTCCGGCCGTACTTCCTTTCTGGCCGGCCGTCCTTCCCAAGGCGGCTAATGTTTTTAAGATGGCTTACTTCGGCCCTCACGCCTCTGGGTTCATAGAAAGCTCTTGCAGTCTCATCTATATTCAAGGATAGCTCCCGGGGGCGCGATGGTTCCGATTATTTTGTACTCTTGATTTCACTCCGAACTCGTGTTTGTTGTACTTCCCGGTAGAGCCGATGAATAAAGTGTATCTTATTTGCCGCGATCGTCTTTACCACTTGTCGTCCGTTGGTCTTTTATTTTATCCTTTCCCTTTTTTGGGATTCCCCAATGCCTCTCTCTTTTTTTATTTTTTTATTTTTTTTAGAGAGGTCTTTTGCTTTGCCCCGTCGTCCGTTCGTCTTACTTGCCCATTTGGCCCGGTCCTTAGGATCCTGAGCTGGGCTCGGCCGCGATTGTGGCGCGGAGCGGGTTTATCCCTGATCGGGCTAAACTTGCAAGTGTACAAGTGCCGATATAGTAATAAATTCCGGTAAAATACCGGGTCGAATCCACAAGGAAACGTTGTTTAATTTAGTCCGTGAGTAGATAACTTTAAATGAAGAAATGAGTAAAGTGCAGGGATTTTGATTTGTGTTTTATATTTTTGGCTTTTCACTTTTTGCTTAAGAAGATAATCGTTAACTAATTTTAAGTTTAAGATAAATGATAACAACAACTAAGGCTTCGGGAATCACTTAAATGCTTTAATAGGGTTGAATATTAGTTCTTTACCAATAATTATGAATACGATGTCGCTAATATATTCTCAACTCCGGTTAAGGCAGCGAGAGCGTGGTTTTCGTTACGTGTAAGTCCCGTTACGGCTTACATTCATCTACCGAAAACCCCGTTGAATATCAAGACATCACACCCGTATCATATAAGACCGGATATATTTCTATTCTCGGTACTATATATGTTTATCCTTTAGTGTTCATAGTTTAGACTTCAACGTTAATTGCAAGTATAAACTAAATTTAACATACTTCTATGTTGTACACCATAGTCATAAACAATCAATATATAAAGGATAAATCACAATTTATTGGTTTAGAACTTTTATCAAACACCTAGTGGGCATAGAAGTTCATCCCTAGCCTTAGCTAAGAAATTAGCTACTAATGCTCATATTAATTACAAAAGTGTAACTAAGAACAAGGAAATACAATAACATACAAGAAATATTACCTAGAACCAATTGTAAAGGAGAGAAATGACTTCTTCTCCAAAGAACTTGAAGAACAAATACAAGAACAAAATATAAAAAAACTAGAATTAATCTATGGAATGGAATGTATTTGCATGATGAATTGAGGGGTTTATATAGGCTAAAGAATGACATCTTTTAGTCTATTCGAACCCAACAATCAGATATGGAAGCAATATTTGATTAGCATTGAGGAAGATGAAGTTTTCCCATCAAAAATCGTCTAGCACGTTGCTGTGTTTTTAGCAGAATCCGACCCAACCGGCGCCGGTTCTGGCCTGACCGGCGCCGGTCATGTGTATTTTTTTCGGAAAATAAAATCCAACCGGCGCCGGTTGGAGTGTGTCCGGCGCCGGTTACTGCGCCAAAATGTTTACTTCCTTTTTCTTCTCAACTTCGTGCCTCCGATTTATCCAGAAGTGCCGATTTTCGATCCCTTTTGACTTTTGACATCCGTTTTTGTTGCTCCTAGCCATATTCCACATATTTGAACACTTTGGAATATTTACCTGTTTTCGCTCTATATTTTTGTGCGGATAAATATAGTTACCTATGTAAAACATAAGTAATTATTGTGCTTATCAAATTCCCCCACACTTGAGCGTTGCTAGTCCTCGAGCAAATCTTCAGTCTTGGATCCCTTGGTTAGTTTGACAAATATATATGCACAAAAATATTTTCAATTTCAAGAGAGGTAAAAAAAAGTATATGACTCTTTTATCATTCTCGGTCCAAAACCCCTTTTTTTTCTATTACACACACAAAAAATATCATTAGATTTTAGAAAAATTACTAATACTCTTGAATTGGTGAGTGGATTGTGACTGGTTTTTTTTTTTTTTTTGGATGTGTAGAACGGTTTTCGTTTGGGAGTTTTTGACTTTTCAGTATAGAAATGGATCAATTGGGATTCTTGAAAGAGACCATGAGCTATTCTCTCTCTCTTTTTTTTTATAACTCATTTGGAATGGTTCTCAACAAGTATTTACTGAAGGTCATTTTGGTAGTCCCAAATTATTTGATGAGAAATGAGGATGTTTTCTACTCCAAAATGGTTCTTGAATATTTGAGATGAATTTTTTGACCATATTTGGAAGTGAAAGAGGATGATGTTTTCTAGTCACAAGGTTTTTTTTTTGGGAGTTATTTTCAAGGGTAAAAAGTAGTGTAATAAATCTAAAAAAAATGATAGTTTTGTGTGTAATAATAAAAAAAAAACTTTCTCAACCGAATGCCTATTAAAAAGAGAGATATAATAATTTTTACTTTCCTAAAAACAAAAATATTTTGCACAAAAAAATTGTTTAACCACCATGAGATGCACCCCCCCACACTTAAGATACATTGTCCCAATGTATGATGCATAATAAACAAACACTTCCAATAATATCCACGATTAAGTGTGTTTAGAGGAGAGGAGTGTTAGAAAATAACAACAAAGGGGTACTTAATGATGTGGATCGGGAGGGGGATACCCGTATTGGTTATAGTAGTGTTAGGTGAAGTCCCCAAACCTTTGGTCAATCCCCTGGAATTGCTCCGCCATTTGCGCTTGACGTGTCTCAAAGGTGTCGAAACGGTTGTAAAGTTCTTCTTGCCGAGTCTCGTAGGCATCCATCCTTGTGTGCATCCGGTCCATGGAGTTGATTAGATAATCAAGGCTTTGTGTCATGGTCCGCCGTGGCCGGGCTGCCGGTTGTGGTTGGGCTTCACCCATCTCTTCATCTCCAACTTCTTGCTCCTCGTCATCCTCTTCCTCCTTTCGTATCCATGTGTTCCCCACCTTTTTGTAGTGGAGAGCGACCATAGTGTTTGCATTGAGTACTTGGGATCCGGTCGTGTACTCCACCTCTTCATTTTCAAGGTCAACGCTGAAGCTCCTGAAGATCATAATGAGTAAAAGAGGGTAAATGAAATTTTTGTCACCTCTTTTGGTCTTGACTACGCTCTTCATGTCCATCATGATAAGAGGGGCCAAGGGGACGCCTCGAATCTGCCCGAGCCCGGTGACCATCTTGTGCAAAAGGTAGAGATCTACCCGTCGGATGAGGTGTGTGTCACTAGCTCGTGGCAGGATGTTGAAACCAAGAAGGTACACGATTAGTCTCTCCCGAACATTTAGGGTCTTGGCCCTAAGATCTTCATTTACGCCGAACAGTTGCATTGCCCTTATTTCGTCATAGTCAAGGTCGCTTAGCACCACTTGAGAGTTCATGGAAAAGGGAGTACCTACGTCAACGATGTTGAGTAGGTTGTAAAGCCGGCGTTCGCTCACCGTGATTTTTGTACCTTTGACGGTGCTTTCAATGTCACCGTAGGGGTCATTCTTCCTTTCAATGTTGGCGTAGAATTCCCGCACAAGCCGCGGGTAGTATGCTCCAGTTAGAGTGAGCATGATAGCCCACCCTAGAACGTCAAACGCCTCAGAGATCCGGTAGAGTTCATTTAGTTGCGGATCCACAGTTTTCTCAATGACAATTTTCCATTTCTTCCTCGTCTCGTACCACGCTTCATTCTCCGGGGAGGTGAAGCGGGGCACGGAAGAAGAAGAAGAAGAGCTAGCACCTTTTCCTCGTTTGGGTGCCATGGACCTGCAAAATTAGTTCAACACATATGCAACACAACATATATTCATCCACTCAAGGTAATTTAGGTTTATCAATTTCCCCAAATCTCATGTTCATACACAAATTTCTTTCAATAATTATGTTTAGAAGACTATATATCAACAATAAATCATATCAATATGCTTCTAAACATCAATTATATAGAGCAATTCATCAATGAACAAGAAATTTGAATTTAGGGTTCTTAGAATTTTTTTCAAGAACTTCCCCTAATTTTGAACTTTAATCTCAATTTTTTTGGCAACAAACAAGGTTATATACATCAAATGAGCATATGAAAATAATTTTCATCAATGATAATCATCTATTTTGCCAAAAATTTAAAGAAATAAAAGATTTCAAAAATTAGAGAAAATTGGGATTAAAGCTAAAATACCTTAAATTGATGTTCAAATAGGGGCGAAGAAGATTGAGAAGTGATGTTTGATGTTGAATCCGAGATCCTAAGAGTGATTTTTGGCTTTGGTAGGCGGATTTGGGCGTTTGGGGGTGTTTTCCGGCGAAGGGTTCTCAAAGTTTGGGGAAAGGGTTCGAAAATGAGGTCTGAGATGCGACATGTTTATGATTTTAACCGGCCCGACCGGCGCCGGTTGTAGGGTGTCCGGCGCCGGTTACGCGTGAACGCCAACACCCTAAAGTCTCTGGAATCGTACGGCGCCGGTTATGTGGCCGACCGGCGCCGGTCCTTGAAAATTTTATATATATATTTTTTTGTTTCAATTATAAATAAATGTGAATGTTTATAAACAGATTTATTTATAATTGATTTTTATTCAATTTATAAATAAAAATGAATATGCATGACCAAACATCCTTATTTATAATTGATTTTTTGTTGTTGTTGGGTTGCCTCCCAATTAGCGCTCAGTTTAACGTCATAGGCCGGACGCAACGTACCTTTTTAGTCCTTCAATTGGCAAGTGGTGGTTGCCAAGGTGTTATGGTACTCCATGTATGGCTTAAGTCGGTGACCATTTACAAGAAATGGTGTTTGATCACCATTTTGAATCATCATTGAGCCGTATGGTCGGACCTCAGTGATTGTGAATGGTCCCGACCATCGGGTTTTTAGCTTTCCGGGAAAAAGGCGAAGTCTAGAGTTGAAGAGTAGTACCTTTTGGCCGACGTAGAAATCCCTTCGGTTGATGTTTTTGTCATGCCAAGCTTTTGCCCTTTCCTTGTAGATGCGGGAATTCTCATATGCACCCCTTCGGAGTTCTTCAAGTTCTGCCATTTGGAACATCCTCCTCTCCCTTGAGAGTGCAGGCTCAAGATTTAGCTTGGAGAGTGCCCACTGTGCTTTGTGTTCAAGTTCTACGGGAAGATGGCATGACTTCCCATAAACAAGCCGGTATGGCGACATACCCAACG